TCGTTGAGTGATCAGAATACAAAGCTTCCTCTCAGCATCATGGGAGGAGATAAAATAATTCAATCTATGGTCTCTGTTCCATTAAGACTTGGTGCTTTCTTCAGTAACAGTATTTGAAATGTGTTTGACTATCTCTGTCCCGATGTACAAGAGGGACTTTTCTCACTGCAGCATCTCAGAGTCTTTTTCATGTTCTTTACTCTGGACAGTAAAATTAAGTTCATAAAGGCATTTGGCAAGTGTGGAGGAAGCTTCCATATTACTAATGGCTAGCACTGATAGATGATTTTCATGTCTTTTTAGCAATCTGGAAAAGAATAACCAAAGAATCATCAGTATGTGGGTTTATCACAGTGCTTTTATGTTGCATATACATTTTCAGTATTGAAACCATTCTGAGAGGCTTTCTGCTGGCAAGGAAGTGCCATAAGGATGTCGTGAAGCATGAGCTTTCACTGCAAACCACACACAATGCAATTACCTTTCAGCAGCTACTACAGGATATGAGGGTTCAAAGTCCTGCAATGCTATAAATTAAGGGGGGGGGGAATGACAGATTTGCACAAAACCACACCTTCTGGATCAAATACTTCCCTGATTTGCCATGACCAGCTCCAAACTAGTTAACACGGTCACTGCCACTGGTGCAGCTGGCAGAGCAAGGTGCTCAGAAGGAAGTGCTAATCACACAAGAAATCAGGTCAATACTGAAGCAAGTTTGGTCTTGTTGGCTCCACTGCTTGAGCTTGCCAGCTTCCAGTGAAAAATAACTGAACTGTGGGTGTAACAAATTATGAGATGACTCAGGCAAATGCTGGTCCAGCAACTAAAAAAGCTCCTGCCCACCAGTCCCGACTCTCATGCTCTGGTAAGGACTCCCAGTTCCCCAGCACTGTTAAAATGGAAGACTCTGCCTCGGAGATGGGCATCGTCCCTCCTGTTCAATGACAACTGTGGCACAGGTCACTAAAGACATCAGCCAATTCTCAGGTCAAGGCACAACACACACGCTTTAAAAATAATCTTCAGCCTTGGTCTTTAATGAAAAACAAGTGAAAGAGGCAAAGCTTCCAGGGAAGACCAGAGCCTTCTTTTGCCCAGTACCTACTGGTTCACATCTTGTGAGAGAAACTGAGCACTTAAATTGCAAAAACTATATTCAAGCCATCATGGCCCATGAGTAAGAACAACACCTGCACAGAAGAAAGGTATGCTATGGCACAAAAAACCCCACAAAAAAGATCCCATATCAGGACGTGGAGCACTACTGCTGTGCCATACACACAATACACATTTACATGAACCTGGCAGAGGAAAATACTCAAGGATGCTACCAATGGTAAAGCAAAACTTGTTCCATTACTTAATGGAACTTTTTGTGAATTTTTAACACTAAGATGAGAATATTCAGAATTAATAATTAGAAGACTGCTACAAAAATACTTAATTAATATTATACTTCAACGATCTAAATATTAAAAGATTTCTTAAATCTGGGAACACTGAAATCAAAGACTAATTCAGGTCTTAAGGAAATCACTGGAAGTTGTGCGGTCCAACTCCTGCTCAAAGCAGGGCCAATTCCTTAGCTAGATGACATTGTTCAGCATTATAACCAGTTGGGTTTTGAGTATCAAAGAGGCTAGAGATTGCACAGACTCTTTGGGGAGCTTGCTCCCATGTTCAATCAATTCTTTTGATTCCTCTTTTTACTCACGGTATCTAACTGGTATTTCCCTTGCTCTGTTCATTTCCACACATCCATTTCACTATGCTGTCCAATAAGTTTGTTTATTTTCACTATAACACCCAATTACCTAGCTGAAGACACCAGCAGGGTTTCTACAACCAGTATCAAAACTCTTCTGTTTAGAACTACCAGAAAATTCATCCCTGTTGACAGGTTTTTGAGGAACAGACAAAATTAACAGATTCTTATTTGAAATCACTACTTCCACTGTTATGAAGCTGAAGCAATGCAAAACAAAACCAAGAAAACACTCAGCTTGTAAATTCTTGGAAAAAAACAGAAGCAGCATGCATGGTGACTTCTGGCACAGTATGTAACTACTGCTCCTTCTGCATCATAAAGAACATTTCCTACTTATACCAGAAGTCAGCAGTGTTCTATTTACTTACTGAAGGACCTTCTACAAGAGGAAAGCTGACTGAGTCATTCATTAGAGTTAACCCAAGTTTGGAGGACAATGCAGACAGGCAGCAAGGATGGAACACAGCTGTGTGTCACTCCACAATTTCAGAAAATTCCCATAAGACCCAATTTGCCCCTTTCTCAAGTTGAGATAAAAGGTTACTGTCAATGGGAAGTTGCTTTTCCGAGTCATGCAGTACTGCCTCCAGGAGGAAAAGAGACAGACCACAGCAAAGGCCTCTTTCATCTTTCTCCAAAAATGCAACCTGTCATATTTACCAGACACATTTAAAAAGTCTGGATCACAAACACTGCCTTAGGTGAGATGATGCTGAGCATTTGTGTGCAGAGCTAAACAGTGCAGAGCTGACTGAGAAACTGTACTGTCAATATACTTACTGTTTTCTTAAAGGACAGGTAAAACCTACCTATGGTTTAGTACTTAAAACAACAGAAACAACATTGCCCACTGGTATTATAGGATGCTTACCTGCGACCACAATCTGAATATTTACCAATATTTTTTAATATTAAGGCAGCTGTTAATCGGATGTGTTTAGTTATTGGTCCCTCTTTCTCATCCTACAAAGGCAGAGAGAAAAAAATAATTTAAAGCCCCATAGTAGCAAGCAACAATTAATATCTAATACTTCAGTCAAACAATACTAACTGTGAAATCTCTGAAGACAAGGTTTCTTGATCCCCTCCTTAATGCCATTAGGGCAGCACTCGGATGATTCACAATGGCCTTCTGTGCTCTGGGAGTAGAGGCACTACCCCCTGCAGTTGGCTGCCTATATTAGTAAAGAAAGAATTAATAAAAATATACTTTGCACCACCTTTTGGAAGATTAACAACTCTGAAAACTTATGTTGCCAATTTTTTAACTTATCTAAATAGAGACACAAAGATCCATTCATACTTGGTGCTGACATGTGATTTGTCTTTTTGTTTCCACAGCCTGTTGCAAAGCCTTCAGGAGAGTCATGGGCTTTATTTTATGTGAAAAAAAACCAACACCTCTCTTGAAGTACTGCTCATCAGCCTTGATATTTGTGATGGAGAACTAATATATTGTACTAATGACATAGCTACTTCCTGAAGTGTACCTATTTAAAGGAATGTTTTATCGGACAGGCTTTAACAGGAACTGTGATAGCAGCTATGCAAATGCCACCTGAGATTTGGCCAGAGAATGTCCTTAAAATATAGCTATTCAAAACTAGATGCAGCTCAGTGGGACCATTAGACACTCAGACAATATAAAACACATAATAACTGTGGTTGGAGAGGAGTAATAGAAGGTAACATGATTTAAGTTATGATCCAAGACATAAAACATCTAATTACCTGTTACCGCAGCTTTCAGACTGAGATTAACAAACTAAGAAGGGTATTATAAAAAGCTGGTACAACTAACAAACACAGTGGAAGCAAATTCTCCATTTTCAGTATTAACACTGAAGTCAAAGCTCTAATTAATGTAAAACTTTGAAATTATTCATACTGTAAGTGTTTAGAAAGTATAAATACCCAGCTTGACTTATGGAGTAAGATTAATAATGTAATCACACTGTCATCCTTCTCTAAATGGAAATAAGAGTTTAAAAACCTTTATGGAGTAAAGGGAGGAGGGCAAGGACTGAATCAAGGTGTCCTGGTTTGAGCCAGGATGAAGCCAATTTTTCTTTTTACTGATTTTTTTTTTCCTTCAGTGAGCTTTCTTGTAACTAGCAACAGTGTGTTCTGCTAGGCTGATAAGACAGTGGAATGTTTTTCTAACTACTGAGGCTTCAAGGTTGCACCTTCACTCTGCAGGCTCAGGCACTATGGGGAGATCTGTGATCCCCCCGTAGGAGGCTGAGTTAGACAGACAGCAAAACTGGCCAAAGATATTCCATTCCATATATCTACGTAAGCTCAGAGGAAGGTCAGAGATCACAGACGACAACTTCCTTCCTTCTTTCTTCTCCCTTCTCTTCCGTCCATGGCCGGCGTCCAGGGAGGACTCTGTTCATCCATCACTGTCGACCCTTAGGCTCGAGATCTCCTGACCCCCATAACTCTCTGCTCTCTTCCAGCAGCAGCTCTGGGATTCCTCGGGACTCTTCCCAGTTCAGGGAAGTGCTGTGGGAGTTGCTGGGGTGGGGGGAGGCGAGAGGTTTTTGCCCATACCTGAATATATCTGTATATAATTGTATATATTTTCTTGTATGATTCATTAGTGTTTTAATTAAAGCTGTGTAGTTTAGTTTTCAATCCAGCCAAGTCTCTCTCTTTTTTTCTCTCTCTCCTTCCCTACCTGGGTGGGAGGGGGAGGGGATCGAGAGCATTGTTGTCGGACCTGAGTCAAACTGTGACAAAAATAAATGTCTTGTGATGTTATCCCAGATAGCAACTGAAGGAACAGGTGATACTGGGCTTTCAGAAAAGAAAAGTTCTTACTTCTAAGATCTACATCACCTATTCTGCATTCAGAAACATGACTTGCCCTTAGTGAAGCCATGTTGGCTGTCACCAATCACCTCTTTATTTTCCATGTGCCTTAGCAGACTTTCCAGGAGGATCTGCTTCATGATCTTGCCAGGCACAGAGGTAAGACTGACCAGCTTGTAGTTCCCCAGGTCTTCCTTTTTCCCCTTTTTAAAATAGGGACTATGTTCCCCTTTTTCCCGTCAACAGGAACTTCACCAGACTGCCATGACCTCTCAAATATGATGTGCAGAGGCTTAGCAATTGCACCCGCCAGCTCCCTCAGGACCCATGGATGAACCTCATCAGGTCCCATAGATTTATGCACCTTCAGGTTCTTTAGATGGTCAAGAACCTGCCCTACTCCTACAGTGGGGGGTAACTCACTCTCCCAGTCCCTGCTTTCACCTGCTGTGGCCTTTGTGTTGAGGCTGGAGCACTTGCCAGAGAAGACTGAAGCAAAGAAGTCATTGAGGACCTCAGCCCTCTCAATATCCTGTGTGGCTATCTCACCCGTGTCCTTCAGGAAAGGGCCTACATTCTCCTTGGTTGTCCTTTTCTTCCCAACATACGTATGGAAGCATTTCTTACTCTTCTTAACATTCCTGGCAAGATTCAATTCTAGCAGGGATTTGGCTTTCCTCACCTGATCTGTAGCTGCTTGGACAACTTCTCTGTAATCCTCCCACGATACCTGCCCTACCTTCCACCCCCTGTATGCTTCCTTTTTCAGTTTGAGCTTTTCTAGGAGCTGCTTGCTCATCCACACCAGCCTCCTGGAGTTTCTACCTGACCTTCTTTTAGTTGGGATGCAACGCTCTTGGGCCTGGATAAAGTGATGCTTCAATATCAGCCAGCTTTCACGGGCCCCTCTACCCTCCAGGGTGTTATCCCAAGACACTCTCTTGAACAAATCTGTGAAGAGGCTGAAATGTGCCCTTCTGAAGTCAAGGGTAGTAAGCTTGCTGTGAGCCCTCCTTGCTGCTCTAAGGATCTTGAACTCCACCATTTCATGGTCACTACAACCTAGGCTGCCCTTGAGCTTAACAACCCTCAACAGCCCTTCCTTGTCGGTGGTTCCAAGAACCGAAAACGAGAAGTGTTATGCTGGACCTTGTCCTTACCAACAAGGAAGGGCTATTAATTTTTAATTTCTGGAACATTTTTGATTCATCAATGGAAGCTGTTCCAAATAGCTCTCTGCAACAGCTATTGCACCACAATTGTAGAAAGTTTAAGTACTTGATTGTAGAAATACTTAAAAAGGGACAACTGCAATAAATTAGGAAAAGGAAATTAAGCCAAAACCTTGTAAATCAGCTTTCAGATATGACAATGTAAAGCCAACCTGAGGCGACTTGTTAGAGTAAACTTAGGGTTTAATGTGACAAGTCACTGATTCTGAAAAGCAAATGATCAAGTCTTGTCTCCCTCATGTAGCTAGATGCTCTTTTTGGTTGTGCAAACATAACGCTGCAGTAGAGCTGCAAAATCATATCAGTTACACATTACATATAATCTAAATATCCTCATTTGTTGATTTCTTCTTTGGTACAACAGGAGTAATGGAGGCATGACAGAAGAAAGTAGAAGTAACAGAAAAGGCAAGTCTATGATTTCATAAAACAGCAAGGTGTATTAACTGTCATGAGAGCTGACAAAGGTCTCTCTCATCACTTCCTTTCTTTTTGTTCCAGACCACTTCCTCTACTGGTGTACTGGTGGATGGCAAGTGTGTTACACTCACCTGGCAAACCCAGTTTTTTTTAAAACATAATCAATTTACCATGCAATCAGACACAAAAAACCCAAAAAGCAGCTAATTCTTTCGCTGTAAGCCATGCACAACCGCAAGAAGGAACACAGGCTGGCAGGGAGAGTCAAAACATCCTACTTGGAGTAGTGGAGTGCTCTTATTTCAACTTGTACCCTGAAATTACATCCGTAGTATCTGTATTTCAGCGAGAACTGGTTACGCATATAAATTCCTACTTTCTGAATCTGACCTAATTAAGGAATTCTGCCTTAGAACAGGATGTTTGAACGTTTTTTTCCTATGCCAGTACCTGTGCCAATTTTTAAGAAGCCTGTGAGGACACAGAGCCACTAGATGTGTTTTCAGTGTGACTTAACATTTTTGAAAAGGCAGAGTTGAGATAACATACTAGTAGATGTTATCAGCCCTATGCTTCCTATTTACCAAGTATTTAAGACTGCATTACCATCATTCTTCATTCTGTGGTTTTCAGAGGTCTGAATGTTGTTCAGTGTGAATGCAACAAGGCACCATAAGGTAATATTAAGACTCTGTTAAGATACTTGTTTATATTAAAAAATAAAAGTATTCCCAAACTAAACTCCTCAGCTTTCAAACTCAACTTTCTGTGCTGCCTCCAGCAGCTTGGCAGTAATTTAACTAGCCACGGAACAGACTGCAAAAATCTGCCTGAGACCGTGTAATTACATCTTCAGGTTGCAACAAAGAGATTCCAGTTAGTTACTAACAAAGACCTAGTCTTAATACACTTACTCGAGTAACTGAAGCCTGAACAACTGCAATATTAACATAACCATCCCTACAAGCCCACAGCAATGGGGTTGCGCTCTCCAATATTAATTCCAGATGGTTGAAGTAATTTTGGGAAAGAGGAAAGCCAAAGCTGATTCTAGGTAACAGCACAAAATTAGAGGACTCAGAGGAGCTGGTATTTATCTTACTTGCTTTTTTAAAGAAACGTTTATTACAGGAGTCCCTGGATCAAATTAGCCTAAATTTAGACCACAAAACTGGAAGGAATAAAGCATGTTACAGGATAATCCATCTCAGCTGTATGAAACAGCTGAACTGTACACAACAAATAACTTTCCATTTGAATTACAAGCACTTTCCTGTTACAACAGAAGTTGTACTATATCGTCCAGTTGGGAAAAATCAGAGTATCTTGAGAACAATATTTATCAGAGTATTGACCATATACCTTAAATAATTCACTCTTTCTTTTATGATAACAGCAACCACATCTCGCCCATCAGAATCTAGTCCCTCCTTTGCCCACTTTCTCTTACTGTAACATACCTCAAATTTGATCACTGTTACAGACTCTACATATACAGTTTCACCTGATGAACCAGGTTACAAATACACAAATTCTTTTAGTAATTTCTCTTATTTTCACAACTGCTAATGAGGCTCATGTCTCTTACTTATTGGAAGGCTTCTGATTTCCTGCTTGTCCATGTTCATCTTGCTTTAATCCTGCAAGCAAAGCGTCTCTGGAACAGTGCTTATCCTGTGTGGGGAAAAGAGAAAGGCAGTGAGAAAAGTGTGTTAAAATTTACCATGAAATTCTTACTGTTTTTTAAGTAACATGTGAAAGAAAATCTGCACCTGTAAGTGGGTAATGAAGGAAAACCTCTGCCGTTGGAAAGGTTCACATCCCTCCCATAAGCACTGCCCTGGGTAGACATCTTTTCCTCCGTGTTCAGTTGCTGCGTGATAGAAAACTTGTGATGGTGTTTGAAACCACCTACAAAAAGAGAGGGAGGGGAATTTAAGGTTGGTGGTTGGTTTTTTTTTTCCCAGTTAACGGTAAAGCACAAATATCACAAACATAATAACTATAAACATCTTGATTTTCCAAAATGAGACATGCAGCGCTAAGTGAATAATCAAATTTTAAAAGGAAAACCATGTATATATATATCAAGTGAGTTACCAATAAATGGCACTATGGTTTTGCCAAATCCAACTGAAATATCATGCTTGTATTTTTCTATTTATACTTTACCAAATAAATAATTCATGATAATTTCAACAGATTAATCCTCAACAATACAAGCAAAATAGAGCAATAAACAGCTACAAATGTTTAGTTTCATGTATTACTTTTCCCATTTTCCTTCTCTACTGGTCGTCATACTCAGACCTTATTTAAACTTTAATTGGGAAAAAGAGATGCACACCATTAATTCTATTTGCTCTCAATTCCACACACTTGTAAAAACTGATGGAATAAGATACCATTCTAAAATGAGTGCTCTTTGGTGCCTGAATTGTAATATCAGGAAAATTACTAAATGTCATTTCCTGATGCACACAGAAGTCAAAAAAAAGCATCACCCAAGTGATATTTTAATACTTTCACTTAAATCTAAATTTTTAAATTACTTCCCAAAACCTCAAACTGAGCATTTTGCTTGCCAACAGCCCCAAAGTACAGGACATGAGGTATTTCAGCAAATGAAATGCTTCTGTATCAGTATGAAAGATTCAGTTGTCCTAGGCCTAGCCCTGTAATACTCTCAACAACATATTTTGTGTTTTCTGTAGGCTCTGTTTGGTGAGAGCTCAGGTGCAACATAACATTACTGTGAGTTCAGCCCAGTTAAGGGCTTTCTTCCTTGTCAAGGTGGTGGAAAAGTTACAACTCACTGTAAATGACACCTTAAAATACTGATGAGTGAACAGTTCTTAGTTCTTTTATTTGTGTTTTCAAATTGTCACATAGAAAAAAAGTTGTTTTATTTTAACGTATATCACATGGAAATGGAGAAATACTATATTTCAATCAATATTAAATAGGAACAGTGATTACTCAAAGTGTGGGTTTTTTTAGTCTACATACACCTTAAAATATCTCTCAAGTGTTACAAATTACATCCCTTACTTCAACAGATCAAAAATGGCCAAAATAAACAAAATAATTGGCTGCTTGCAATTAATTTAAGATACAATTAACCCTGCTCATCAACACCCACTTAAGGCATGGACAGAAGAGGTCTAGAAACCTAGTTGCTCCATTTGGGGAGTCATTACCACCAGCTGTCCTCACACACTTGCTGGAAGGATGCTACTGGCACAGCAGTCTTGCCAGAGGAAACACATGCACCCACCTTAGCCACTCTGGTTCACACGCCAGTATTTTAGTTTCAGTTAGCAAGAACAGTGTGTTTAGATGTTTGACTGAACTCCCTGGGCTGAGTGGTGCCAAGAGGGAGATGACCATCAGTCAAAGACTTACAGCAAGCAGGCAAGGATGAAGTAACATCTCCAACCTAAAGTAGTCATTTATGGACAAGTTCAAGTCAGAACTCTCAGCATAAGAACAACAGAACAGTAGGTGCTCTCACCCAGCCACCTCCTTCCACAACCTAATACTCATTTCACTACTGTCCACGATGCAAACATACCTGCAATCAATACGTAGGCCTAAGTGTACAGATCCTGTTACCTGAACCCCATAAAGGTGTCAAAGAGCTAACTGCATCCAGAGACAAGCCTTAGTTATAAGCTGAGTCCTACCAGAACTACCACCTGTAATACAACAATTACCTTCTGCTTAGGCAATGAACAGTACTCTGTTAAAAAGCATTCATCTTTTCCATGCCTGTTAGCTCTCCCTGAAGACGGAAGGAAAAATGGGAAAGACGGGAAGGAAAAATACCTGCCTTTTGCTTTTGGTCCAGACAGCCCACAGTAGATTAAAAAAAAATGTTTTACATTTGCTCAAAAGCAAAACTTGATGTTTCAGGGGACAGAAAGATGCCTTTCCACAATAAAAGGGAAAGTCAGTATGTAAACTTAAGCGTGGCACAAAGCTATTTATTAATAATGGATGAAACAAATTTCATGGCATGAGTGAAACCCAAAATGTAGTTTAAAACATTTTATTCAACATGGCAAGGCTTTAAGAAAAATAAAGCTACTTAATTTATGTTGGTGCATGCACAGTATAACACAGTGTTATACTTCAATCACTGATCTAAAAAGATGAAAATTTACTATCATTTTGCAGAGAAAAACTATTTTTCTTTAAAGAAACACCTAAACATAGTAATGAAAAAGTGTAAGTACAAAGAATATGGTCAGTTAAGTCTAGACTCCTGTTTCTCACTTCATTTCTCCATCATTCTTTTCAGCTGCTGAACAGAACATTAAGGTAATAGCTGACAGGCAGAGGACATTCAAAAGCATTTCTGATTTAAACATCAAGCAACTCAAGAGCAGACATCTCCTGCCTGTGAAACAAAACAGCAGCTTTTAAATTAAGCTGAATACAATTGGCAATACTCGCAGACAGCTGAGCTTCAAAGAAAAACTCCTACATCCTGTTACATCCTCCATGCAAAGGAACAAGTATGCTGACTGACACCTTTTAGAGTTTTACTTCCACTTCAGATACTAAAGCTGAATACATCTGAGGCAAATCATTACAACTATTTACATAATTGGGCCTGATCTGGTTGTGGTCTTCAAACACTACTAAATCTGTTGCATTTTATTTCAAAATCTTGTTATAATGTTGCTAATTCAGCTCTAAAAACCAAAACAGCAGAACCCACACTGGAATGTTGTGGACTGCGGCAACCAAGTTAGTGCACAGGAAAATAATGTACTATTTTATTAATTTTTATTTTAATTCTCAATAAAATGTTTTTTAAGGCCTTTGCTGAATTTTGCAATACATACTGAAAGGGAAACTTAATACTGATATGTTGTGGGAATTAAACTAAAGAACATGAATAAAGAAACAGGTGCCAATGTTTGTATTAAATTTGTCTCCTGTCGTTTGTATTAAATTTGTCTCCTGTCGTATCCTTCTGGTTAACTGTGAACACCACAAAAGAAACATTGTTTTATCATGCTACTATGATGAACCTGTCTGCTTAATAGCAAGGAATAAAACTGCTAAGCAACCATGAATGAAATCAAGTAGTAGATATAAAGTTCACACAGACTAACGACCTACTTGAAAGAATCTTGTTTCCTGCTTAAACAACTCAATAAAAAGAGCTAAGATTAAGAGCTATAAATAAAACAGTTAGAACAGGTGGCAATTCTAGATTTTGCTTTCTGTCAGTTAGAAGCAGGATTCCTAAAGGAGATTTTACCCGTTTTAATCAGGCTTCTGAATGAATATGAATAAACAATATATATTTAAGGAAGATTATAACATTTTGGTTCTCTTTCTGCCTGCTGAGTGGGATGATTACCTAAACTGTTTTTAGGCTGGAACTGAAAGAAATATTTTAAAAGTGAGAAACTGCATAAGAATGAGAGCTGTGTGTCACATGGACTACAATCTATTAATGCAAAAGTCTTCAAAATTTTTTTAAAATAATGAAAATTAACTACAAACAAAAACCAGTACAGTAAGTAACAGCAGGAGGAACAACAGAAATAATATACTATCTTTAAAACAAAACAAAGAGATGAACCTGTAAAATATGGGCCTCATAGCCCTTAACTTCAGTCCCAGGAAAACTTAGTGGTATAATATTTTAAGACAGACTTACAAGAAGACTGATAATGTATGGTAATCAGAACGTTCCTGCCCCAAATTTGTCTGCACGAATTCATATCCTACTTCACATGACATCAGCTTGTCCAGTGGTTAGATGTCACCTCAACTCTACAAAATTCACCCTACATAACTTTAGACACAGAAGAAAGTTGGTGACTAACGTGTCAAAACTGTAGTTCAGCAAACTCCTCATGTTGGTATAAATTTGTGAGGCTTCTGCTAAGAAACTGTCCCAGCTTCTCACTTCCACCTCAGTGCAACCCACTTTTGTACCAACACAGGTGTTTATGCATCTGCTGTGCAACCAGTGTAGTATGGCTCTACAGTTATATTTATTAGTAGAAAAGGAGAAAAGAAAAAATAAGTAAAGCCTTACATGTATTTCTTACATAGAGAAGTATCACCTACCAAAGAAAAAAAGAAATCACTTTTAAGGTGAAAACAGGGCACCGATTTAAAACATGTCAAATCTCTACAGTACCAGTCAGTCTTACCTAAAATCTGTACGTCTTGCATTGATCTAATGATGATTGAATTACGATTGTAAGGAATGCAAGAACAGGAACTATAGCTTCAGGGGTCTATAGATTAACTGTCCTTCAGTATTCCACCAATTCTTTTCAAATTCCTCATTTTCACCATCACTTTCAAATACTCAAACTTCTTCATGATTTCATCCCAGCTCCCTGAATGTCAAATCAGCTCATCTTTATGGTCCCTTTATTTTGTCCTAAAATGAAGTGTCTCACACTTTTTTCATACCCATGTTCTCTTACTGTTTTAACACTGTTTGACAACTACCTTTATTTCACTAATCTGTACCCTCCACTGCAAACTTGGCATAGTCACAAACCTATGTTAATTTTTTTAATCAATGTAAAGACATACATACTGATAACAAAGGTACTGCTGTGTCTTTAAAAGCCTATATCCAAAATTCTGCTAACTTACTCCTCTTCTTTTATGGACAACAACAAATAAAAAAAGTCCAATCATTCCTCCCTAGTATTAAAGCTGAGTTCCTTTTACTTCCTTTTATCACAATGGAGTCCTGGGGCAAACAAATGGTTTTATAATTACTAAAATTAGTCATCATCTAAATATGACTTTGACCAGGACATAGAATTGCAACACCTGCTCTTGCAAAACTTGAAACACAAGAAAGATTAAAAACTGGAAACACATGAAATTGTCAAGACAGGATTTGTAACTGGAGTACAGTAAACTATTTTTGTATTTGCAATATAGAGAACAAGCTTCAGAGTTGTAAAGTTGGGGTCTTTTAACTTAACTACATGACACTATTTTATTTATTACTGAAGAACCAATGTATCATAAGAAAGCCACGTAATGCTCATTTTATGCTTTGAAGTATAACTGAGAGCACATCCCCCACCTCAGGTTCAGCTTTCCTCAGTACTTTTCATTTTCTCTTTTCCCCACTGACAAAGTATAAGGTAACTTAAGGAAACAGAATGGCTAGAACTTGCAGAATCACCTTCTACATACAAGTATCTGTAACATATTAGTAAAAGGTAGTTAAATAAAGGAGCCATTTACTTTTTACAAGATTGCCACAGACACATGAAGTTCTGTCCAGGTTTTTTCATTTGCTCTGCATGTTGACTTGCTGCAGTGTATGAAGGTGGCTGCAAATTGATCTGCTGGCCCTGTACTTGCACTGTTGGTATCGACGTTGCAGGTGTGCTCTGCAGAAAAAGTTAAAACACAGTTTTAAACAGGGCTTATTACAAGACTTGACATACAGTCTGATGTTTGTTCAGGAGATCTTTTGTTTTACACTTTAATCCACCACAAGGTTTCAGATTTTAACACTTTCAATAAGCATTAGTAGACACAATAACATAAAGAACACAAAACTTTTACATTGTAGTATTTATGCAGAAGTTTCTAATATTCAAATTATTAAACTTGATGCCTAAATTTAAATACAGAATTATGACTGCAAAGGACTATCTCCAGGACACTAGTGAAGCCAAGATTAGCCATTATTTTGAAAGGCTTTATTTTTATCCGATCTACAAGAACAGAAAAAAAACGTGCAAAATCAAGGGGTTGCAGTTAATCAGCAAATGGAGTAGCTTCCTTTCCTGTGTAAGTGTAGAAGAAACTGTTCTATAACAAGTAAAATGAGCACTGATACATCTAAAAATGCTTTGTATTATTTGATGAAATGGTTTTATGTTCTGCATCTGTTGAATTCTTGAACTGCTGCATTAGCACACACCAGCCTGTGTTAGAGAGCATAAGAAAAGGTAAATTGAACAACACTGGAGAAACACTATCTAAGACCAGTAGGCTCAAACTATGACACACCATTTTCTCTATAAAGCTTGGCATATGATGTAATTTTTCAAACTCTTGTAAAACCAACCAGCACATGTACCTTTATACAGAATGCCTAAACAACCTGTACACAACCCGTACTCAGTGAAATATCAGTTTCAGAAAGGAAAAAGATGTTCCCCTTGCTCTCTTGCAATATTACAGGACACTTATTTTAACAGTGAATAAGAATTATTACACAGGTGACCTAAAAATTACAAAAGCTAAGCCGAAATACATACAGTTTTATTTCTTTTCTACATAATAGATACAGAACACTGAAATTCCCCATTTCACAACAGTGCTTATGTCAGAGTATTGTTTCTCTTCTTTCTTTTTTTTCTGGAAGGCTCTGGCCAGCAAGACATTCATAAAGACCACGACAATAAAAAAATTCAAAAATACTATCTAGGAATGAAAACCTAGCAGCCTTTTCTTCCCTACTGTTAGAAAGGGAACAAAATTTAGAGCCCAAACAAAACTACTTTCAAGACTCTGTTTAAGAATACTATAAAAGAAGCATTTTCAAATGGTGCACACAATACTCTGTTTACATCTTTTACATCTCTGTTACTGAACAGGTTTAAACTTCAACTGCAAAGAAACAAACATGTAAGTGCAATTTGTAACATTTCATTTGCATATTGATCTTGATTTTTCTTCCTGCTGCTCTCTACTGGCATTGTGGACAACAGTCACACAAGGTAACAACTATCACAGATTGTACAATATTAATAGCATGACCAAAAAGACAGCAAAACAGCCTCATCAAAACCAAAACACTTCCCATATCCAAGCATAAATCCTAATAATGCAAAACTGAGCAAAAATTCTGAACACAGCACTCCTACTGTATGATGCCTGTGATCTGCACATGTGAAAAATTACAAGAAAAGATTTTTGAGTCTAGTAGTTGTAACTACAAATTATTTTGAATTCAGCAATGGTTAGCACATAAAGACCTCTAAGTTATTTTATAAGTTGGGTAATGAATCTTCACAATAGATCCAACAAAATGTAAACACAAGTGAAGCCTTTTAAAATCAATGTCTCTTTAACAAGACATCTTGAAAGTGAAGCTGAAAGTAAAATCATCAAGTGTCAGCAGTACAGCTTGTCTCACAGTCTTCATTCGGCATCCTGATGTCCTTATATTATGACGGTCTTTATGCAACTTTTAATCCCTATAGAACGTGTGTCTCATTTAATGTGCTGGAGAAAGAGAGTGAGCTTACTGAATGAATTCAGTGTTTACTTTAACTCTCATAATTCAGTATGTGGTTCATGTATTATTTACTCCATTCTAGGCAAACCCTGCAATTAATCCAGAATTACAAATTTTCTCAAGGGTTTTTCTGGCAAGCTCTCCTAGTGGTATTCAAAGGTTTTAATACCATCTCATTAAAAAACTGTTTATTTTAAACAAGGGGATCTGAGATGCAAAACACAAAATCTTATGTGCTGAAAATGAAAAAGGGCAGAAAAGGAAACAACTGTTCAGAAGAAAATTCCAATTTCTTTCTATTCTTTATTTTTCAGCTAAAAAATACCCAAGAATAAATTGAAAATAAATGTGTAAAGTAATTATTATTATTCAGAATTCTCTTCTTACTGCTGTACTGCAAAGTATTTTCAAAGTTCTAGCATTAGGCAGTTACAACTTCCAGGTATTTTTAATCACATTCAATGCTTGCGTCTCAACTTTGTTGATCACACTTTAAAATCAACAGATAAGCAAAATGACGTTTATTTTCCTAGGTTTTCTTTTAGAAACATAAGTTCTATGTTCAAACATCTCAAAGCCTTCCTCTCTTCAATCAGAAATACTGCTAATTTTTGTTTTCATTTTTCCCTTCTATGTTTTCATGTACCAATTTAGTAACACATGGCACAGGGGACTGTATCTAAAATTAGAATTAATCTTTGTTTTTCAGAAATGAAACTCCTTTCTTTCCAGCAATATACCTAGAAATACTTGCTATGTGCTACCTAATTTACAGCACTGATACACAGTAATTATGTAAACTCACTTCCTTCTTCAACATACAGAACTATCACAGATACTTTTTATTATTTTTTTTCCTAAGTCTTTCTGGGAGAAGTAACATTGAAAAAAATTTCCCCAAGGCATGAAGATTTCGCAAAATTTCCTCCTCTAGCAAAAACATTTAATGATTCCAGGTTCCTCAAGAAATCAAATTCCCAGTAATCTAGTACACTTGAAAGCACTTCAGAGCGCATTTTTATACTCCAGTAAGACCTCTCCATGGTATGATTTGCAATTGCCACCACTTTGCATGTCTGTAAATTGCATGTTACTGGATCTCAGGACTGAAAGGTACCTCTAACAGAATCATGTATCTCAGTATGGTTTGCACTGAACTCTTAAAACATATATATAAACCTTTAATGTCAGTACAGTCTACTTACAGAGCATATACTACAGCCTACTTTTAATAAGCAGGAGATTTTTATCTCTAGACCAAGTGACTTTAGATTGAGATATCAGGGGGGGGGGGAGGAGGGAGGGTGGAGTGTGGTGGAAACAAGTTCAGCATAGTCAGAAAACCTAAGAGTAAACTGAAGAACTTTATGCTGTCCAGAACAGACTGTTTACAAAAGGCTCCTTCATTTGTGCACATGAGCTCTCTATATGGTAGGAATACCAATCCCTATGGCTTGAGGCCAGAGATGGCCTCCACCTCCATTTCACAGAAACAATGGTGCCATTGCCTTTATGTATTAATGGTAACTCCATTTTAGCATGACACCTGGCCATCTCATTTCAAAGGCCTGTGCTTTTCAAAGGCCTGATGCTGTGCCATCAGGAAAAGAACACACTGCATCCCAGTGTGATGGGGGTCCTGTTGACACTTAAAGCCATATTAAGTTTAAAAGTATTATACTGCATTTTTCCCCCATCAATAGTATTTGCATACCCATAGCAAATACATTTAACTCAACAAGAAACAGTTAATTATTAGTACAAATATTTTGGAAGCATCATAGGATTTACAATTTGGTAAATTCTAAAATTTTATATTTAGCTTCTTCACGATAATGAACATATAAAAAAAAGGTAACCTGTAAGTTGACAATTAATATAGTAGGATTTGAGCGTGAAGAAGAGGTCACGTGGATGTGTTGGCACTAAAATAAATGCTCTTATCTTGACAGATTACTTAAGTTTTAAGTCTCCTTGCAACAGCTTCACAAGTGAAGAGCAATAAAAGCACAGTGATTTGGTATTTCAGTATTTCCAGCTGAGAAACTAATTTGCTCTGTGGCTAGGAATGAATTACACCTCCTGGGGCTACACACCTGCTTTCTGGTGCATGGTAATTCTCAGCTTCCCAGTCAACAGGGAGCAGAAGCAAGTAGTTAAGGCAATGCTCACACGGTTTTTGCCACCTAAAGTTTCACACAAGCATGTTTCAAGTGGGCAGCTTTAACAGAGCGGGAGTGCATTGTTTTTGAGGGGATATCAATGATGAACAGGTTAGTAATCACTTTAAAAGCCAGATAAGGCAATTTAAATAAGATTTGCTCATTTCTAGGAACTTGTCATGGCATCAGAGCATTCCTTCAAAACACCAACTGGGACAAAGCAACACGGTTATGTTCAACAGATGTTTTGGAGACATTTGACAAGGAGTAAGAAAAAGAGGAAAGGAAAATAAGATGTATAGGTAGGTAACTCCTAATTTCTTTTTCATCCACTGGTCTAGCAAAATGCCTCAGGAAAGCACCAGGAGCAAAGAACACAGAAATAAAACGAAGCCAAGAAAGTATAGTGCCAGTTCTGTCTCCTCTCAGATTATATTTCATGGACTTTCAGAACACAGAGATATAAGAAAAAAATTGCAACACTGCGTATCATCTGTTACTCTTCTGACATAACCCATATACTCATATATTTTGTATAAAAATAACAGTCGTAAAAAAGTTTCTAGAGTCAGCACGTATGTATTTTCATTGAGTTTTGCTGAGGTGTATAATTAACATGGAACAATCACAGGTTATACACAGAAGAAACCTGTACTTGTCTAACCGGATTTCAATAGCACTACATGGGCTGTCCCCACAAACAGCAAGTTTAAAATTTTTATTATTTTAGTAGGCCACTTAAATCAACATTTTCCCCCAAGCATATAGTACCAGCCCATTTCAAACTACCATTCATATAATGCAAAAAATCTTCTCTGAAATTTTACATTCTCTTAAGAATTATTTCACCCTCTTTCTTGCTTTCCTTAGTTTTCACTTTGCTGTTCCATTCTCTACCCTGTTTGTTTCTCCTTCCTTATCTTCAGTTCTCCTTCCTCCTCTCTGCAGTTCTTTCCTCTTTATCTCCTTTTCTGGCCTTCCTGTTGGTTGCAATTTTATTACAAATTTTCTTCCTCTATCCCTATTTCAGTTCTGTGAAATACAAGCTTTTATTTAAAACAAAAATTTAAGATGACAAGCAAACAGGAAATGACACACTAACAGCTTCAGCAGCTATGTCATTTTGCCATTGCTAATATCCCTTTATTCCATATTTTTCTCCACTGGGTTGTATTCATAATAAATTTAAAACTATCTGCAAAAAGAAACGTTCTCCTATTTCTTCTGCAGGACACTCAGTATACATTAGATGCTGCAGAGCAGATAAAAAAACGCAGATGCTCAAATGAAAACAGTGTTCCTTAGCTGCTGCCTTTTAGAAAGTCAAAAACAAGAAAGCTACTTGTCATGCAAAGACAAGTTTCAAGATGGGAGGGAGAAAATAGGAGATTATACAAAACTCAAATACTCAAAGCTCAAACTGAGTTCATGAGAACTTGGCTACTTCTTAATATTTTCAGATGTCTTAAAGACACTCCTAAAATCAGACTCAATATTGGAAATACTTAACATCTGCTTTTCCAGTAAAACAATGGCTATTGCAGCTGCTCAGCAGCTTTGGAAACAAAAAAGAGCTGGCCAGAATGATCTTGGTAATGCTTACAGTTGAGCACATTAATTAAGAAGTGGTTAAGATCCTTAAGGTCTTATGCCAAACTATGATGTTCACTATTTCTGAAGACTGTAAAGTGGGCTCTATTATATGTCAGTACTTACCATTATCATGATGCACGATTCACACCCACACATAATGGTTACACCTAACAAATTAAGCTGTTCACCAAGATCAAAACTAATGAACTCCTTTTCTTGCACATTCCTGTAATTTTGAAGAAAGCAAGGGCTTCCTTCATACAGGCAGGAAAAGGAGCCAGGTTCCATATAGGCAGACATTAAACCAAGTTATTTTCATCTGCATATCTGTACTGAATGGCATACCCAGCTGGCAGCATTTCTGTTCATACAGGTAGTGGAAAATGTAGGAACTACTAATGATAGTGATTATTAGTGTAAAAAAAACTATCAGCACAGAAAATGTTATTTTTTGTTCCTCTGTTAACATGATAGAACAGCTAATCCAACACAAATTGAATAGTTAACTGTATTACTCTCCTAAAAAAATCTGTATATCAGACAGCTGTTTAAGACAACTAAGACAATTCTTGTCAGCCACATGTCCAGGGAATAAATAACCCCAGATAATATTTACTCTATTCCAGAGACATTGCCATAGCACTTCCATTTCAGACAAATCCTTAGCAAAGTCATAATAGAAATTCAAACTGTGCAACAGCTAAAGACACTCACTGTAAAAAGCAAGGCATAGCTTGCTTTTTTTCAATACTACAGAAAATCTAGTTCATTATCCCTCTGCTGCCAAAAGACACTTTCATTTTGGTTGATAAATTTCTACTTCTAGGAACAATGTTAAACAACATCAGAGCATCGTGGCTCTCTGATAAAATCTAAGAGAAAATTCACGAGTTTGAACACATTCTTAAAACCATAGCTCTGTGTTGTGTGGCAGCTAAAAGAGGAAAGAAAAAGAAAACTTGTTAACTGCTAGTCCTTTTCTCTGCCAACTAGATGAAGCAAAGTCAAAAGACCTTCCAACAGAAACCCAGCTTTACAGAAAATGTAGTAGCACTAGCCACTTGTTGAATTTTAAGTTCCAGCTCTGCTTAAGTCAATATGGTCTATACCTGCTACCCAATCAAAACCAACCAACCAACCAAAAATCCAACCAACCAAACAAAAAAGGATATAATTTCTCCTCTTCACTCTGTCAGAACTCTGTGACTGCTAGACCTACTATTCTATTCTTTTTGCTCCTATTCAGGTTAGGAACATTTTTTGGAGAGGGATTTTCTGTCCATGTACAAAGCTAAAATAAATTCTAGAGACTTGAATAATCTTAAACATTATTATCCATACTTATTAATCCTATACAAGTGATAGCCATGCCTCATTTCTAGTAAAGTGTTAGGGAGTATCCACTTTCTAATGGTTAAAAAAGCAGTTGACCAAGGAAAAGAAAAAAGCACAAAACACAAAAGCCCTCTCTAGAGTTTGTCAAACAGAAAAAATGCCCAAACAATGCATATTGTATTAATAAAATAAACGATACACATATTTTGCAATAAACAACATAAATATTGCAATGAATTTCTAAACCAATACTTTCTCCTGACTGTAGTGAAGACCTGAAGCAAACCTTTCAAGACCACTTTCAAAGGCAAGAATTGCAACTCATTCAGTAAGCCAAAAGCAGCTGCAGTGATTAACTAGCAAAAAAGACATATTAGCCAGCCATCCACAACAAAGACCAAAAATAAAATGCAGAACAATTTGGACATTTTTACAAGACTATACAAGAAATCATTGTTGATTTCAGAACAGTTAATCCTTTAAGGAGGAAATCAGTGAGCAGAAGTTCTTTCCTTACTGTGTATTATCAAGCAACAAGCAGGTTGCTGACATCTAAGAAGTATGCAAACTATTAGAGCTTTAGTCCTTGAAAGACCAGCAACCATAATTTTCTGAATATTTTAAATACCATGCAAGAAATATTGACTGATTTTACATTTTCACCCACATTATTTCACAGCATTAGTCAGAATCACAGTTGAAATAAACATAAAAAGAACACTGCAACATACCTGTGTGACCATGCTTTGTATATACGTGGTTGGATGCTGCTGCTTTTGTTGAACAGCACTTTCTATTGCTACTTTCGCTACAGTGCTTGGATCCGCTCCAGCTGGCACAGCAACCATAGTTGCACTGCAACCAGCATTGTTTGGGTCACTGATTGTAACAATTCTAACTCCTACTTTATTTGGAATTCCTGGAACAGTTTCCCTGTCATTATCCTCTGCTGGCCTCTTTACAGTTTTGCATTCTGCTGTGCCATTAGTAGACCGAACTTCGGATGACAGGGTAGACTGGGACACTCTAGGTCCTGAGTGTGGAACTGCTATGATTTGATGCCCCTGTATAACAGAGGCTGTAGATTGTGGTGAGACAACTACACTTGGGCGTTGCTGAGGCACATCTGAATTCAAACTTGAAGCTAGAGGTCCATTAGGTAAATCAGTGTTGGTACCACTAAGTTGCTGGGTTAACAGTTTTGCAGCCTCCTGTGTACCGCTTACAACAGGTGAACTACTCAAAGTTAATACAGGCCCATTAGAAATTCTTTCCCCTTGATCACCTTTGGCAGTATCTTGCTGTGTGGCATCCAAATTCCCTTGTTGTTCCACTGAAGATATCTCACCATTTCCTACATGATTGGAAGTTTTGTGATTTGGAATGTTTTTGCTCAAATGAGAACCATCTCCTTTATCAAAATCACAGATTCCATTAACTAGGGGCTTCTTCAAATCACTTTTAATTTCCTGTGTGTCCATTTGTTCAAAGTTCTGCTTTCCAGGAGCTCCGTTCTCACCCATTTCTAATGATGGCCCATTACTGACTTGTGAGCACTGATTGGCCTCATTCTGAGTTTTCCCTGAGTTAGAAGGAGGTAGACTGGAGTCACTATACTTTCTCCCATTTAAAAGACTTCCCACCTGCATTTCATTTTCTTTTGCATCCCCATTGCTGGTGTTTGCAGCTCCTCTTCGGCAGGAAGGATTCTCCATAACTTCAATTTTACGTTCATGAATGTGTAAACCTGTTGCTTCCTTTGCTTCTTCCTCCTTTTGGCAAATTATTTTATCACCTTTGAATGGGGGAGCAGCAGTACACGGTGATTGTCCAGCTGAAGGTGCTTGAGTAGCTGGAAGTGTTTGCACCTGTAGCCCAACTCCTGTCTGTGCTCCACTCACTGCAATTCCT